TACATAAGAGAACATCTGGCAAACTAGCTGATCACAAAAATATAATGATGGAATTTTCATTAAGACATGCAAGTCCCTGTAAAGTTTTCTGTTTCATCTTTCCATATATTTAATGAGAGAAGACTATTTAAATTACCACAGGTAGACTGGAAACAACAGTTTCAAAAATCCTCCCCATTGAAGTAAGCGGAAATAAATGAGTCCAAGCCAAGAATAGTTAATAAAATTTTATTCATTCATTCAGTAAATATTTACTAAATAAAACCTACTATTTTAGTGACAGGCACCATTTGTTAGTCTTTAAAGCACAGATCATTTGCTTCTGGGTGTTTTTCTGTCCTTTTCTATAAACCTGAAAATAAAACATACAAATCAAAGGGAAAAAAAAAAAGATCTGTTTACCTAGCATTGAGGTGATATTATTTAACTAGAAGACAAATCATGCTACCCATTATAACACAATTATATCAAGAGGTACCTACCTTTTGTCTTCAAATAAAGAATTACGTACACCATAGAAAATGCTTTTCTTCTTATATATGATTGTATTGAGCATGTTCTGGTATGGTGTTTCCATACACCAGTAAATATGGTGAGTTTTGCATAAAGTTTGATTTTTCTTCACAGGACTCACTACTATGTTAAGTCCAATAGTGCAGAGGTTGATAATACTGTTGACATTTTGAGCAAAGTAATATCTTTGTCATGAGGCTTCATCCTGTGAATCATAGGATATATAACAGCAGCATCTGTGGCCTCTACCCACTAGATGCCAGTATCATCCTCCCCTTTAGCTGGGGCCAAAAATGTCTCAGACATTACCAAATATTCAAGAGGGTGCAAAATTGCTTCCTGTTGAGAACCATCACTTTAGAGAAACACCTCAGAGAGGGAAAGTGATTGTAGACAGAAAAGGAGGCCAAATAAAACAATGATCTCCTTCATCATTGTACACTTCTGGTTTACAATAAACTCAGGTACTTCAACATTCATGATGCTACTGGTCTACCATGTCTTAAGGTCAAATTTCTTCTAGGCCTAAATCTAAATCGAGGTAAGAAAAGAAGCCCCATTAAAACAACTCACAAAGAACACAACGGAAACAATTCTACCTAATCTTTCCTCCATCTCTCACTTTAAGAACACCAAGGTCATCTTTTTGTTAGTTACCTAGAATAATCCCAGAAGTTTTCACAAATATTTGAGTACCTACTATTTGCCAGACATAATTTCAGGTGCTCAAGAAAGATTAATGTATTAACTTCATTTACCACATTGAGAAATCACTCTTATAAACCCCATTTAATAGGTCAGTGGTTCTCAACCTGTGGGTTGCGACCCTTTTGTAACAATGAAAATACATCCTGCATCTCAGCTATTTACATTACAATTCATAACAGTAGCAGAATTACAGTTATGAAGTAGCAACAAAAAGAATTTTATGGTTGGGGGGTTACCACAACATGAGGAACTGTATTCAAAGGTTGCAGCATTAGGAAGGTTGAGAACTACTGTAATAGGTAAATGTTTATGACCTTGGATTTGGCAAAGGATTCTTGTAATTGACACAAAAAGCATGAGCAATAAAAGAAAAAATAGGTAAACTGAACTTCATCAAAACTAAAAAAAAAACACAAAACTTTTGTACTTCTAAGGATATCATTAAGAAAGTAAAAAGACATCCAGAAAATAGGAGAAAATATTTACAAAACATATATATATGTCCTATATATATAGGACTCTTACAACTTAAAAATAAAAAAAGACAAATAATCCAAATAAAACTGTTCAAAGGATATAGGTAGACATTTCTTCAAAAAAGATGACTAGTAAGCACATAAAAAGATGCTCAGTATCAGCATTCATCAGGGAAATTCAAATCAAAACCAGAGATACCTACCACTTCACACCTACTAGGATGGCTATAATCAAAAATTCAGATCATAACAAATATTAGCAAGGATGTGGAAAAATCAGAACCCCCCTTGTTGGAAGGAATGTAAAATGGTGCAGTTACTTTGGAAAGCAGGCTAGCAGTTCCTTAAGCAATTAAACATAGAATGACCAGGTGGCCTAGCAATTCCACCCCCAGGTACATGCCCAGAAGAAATGAGAACATATTCACACAAAAACTTGTAAATGAGTATTTATAGCACCATTATTCATAACAGTCAAAAGGCCCAATCAACTCTCAACCCAAATGCCCACTAATGGACAACTGGACAAACAAAATTTGCTATAGTCACACAATTTGGCTCTAAAAAGGAATGAAGCGATACACGCTACCACGTGGATGGACTGTGAAAATATTAGAAATTAGTCACAAAAGGATGAATATCACATGATTCCACTTATATGAAATGTTCACAATAGCAAAATCTATACAGATAGAAAATGGGTTAGTGGTTGCTTAAAGCTGGCAGAGATGAGGGTGGGAAATTGGGGTGAAAAGCAAGATGACAGATAAAGATGGTTGTTTTTTGAAGTGACGCAATATTCTAAAATGTACTGGGGTGATGGTTACATATATGTCTGAATATACAAAAAATGCATTAAAATGTACTAAATATGCTAAAATATATCCCACTAAGAAAATATGTACTACATGTATTTATAACATACTAAAATCCACTTAATTGTATATATTAATTGAGTAACTTTTATGGCATGTGAATTATGTCTCAATAAAGTTGCTTTTTAAAACAGAAGCATTTAAGGTACAATGGAAAACACAGCACTTGAACTATGGTTTAATAATGTAAATACCTTCTTTAAAACATCCTCATATCTGAAGATATTTCATTCTTTTGGTTGCGACACAGGAAATGCTTATTGAATACTATTTAAATTATGGAACTATTCCAGTTAAATATTTTATTTAAGACCATGAAAATCTGAGTAGAAAAAAATTAAAACGCAGGCATCAGGAACTTCCAGAGGACATAAAACGCAGTGATTATTTAAGCTGTATTAGGGGGCATTAAGTAATCAGAGCATGGGGAGGGCTGTAAGCAGGGAGAGTTAAGGAGCTCTTATGAAAAGCCTCAGCCGGGAAGACCCCCCCTTCCTTACCAGCTTGCAGAGATGTTGAAAGAACATTCTTTTATGCACTGTAAACCTTATTTTTCAATAAGTGAAAACAATCCTCCATATGATTTACTCCAGTAACAAACAGGAAGTCAAGTAAATAAAGAATAATGGGCCAACCAAGAAGAGATTTAAGGAAACATATAAAAAACTAAACCAGTTCCCAGGAATGGTTACCGGGAAGTTTCAGCAATCAGCATACGTTATTGCTTTTAGCAGGCGGGTCATAATACAACATGATCTGTGCATAGCTCACAATTCCAGTCCTGTGATATTTCAACCTGTGTCATTTTTAATCCAAATAAACTCTTGTTTTTGTGTTTGCCTTGTGTAAGCTACCAGTTAATTATCCTATCTCATTGCCGAGCTCCTGGTATGCCTGGTCCCTGGAATCCATAGTTGCCCCTACCTGAAGAATCACCAAAGCCAGTGACAAGGAAATGCCTGGGGGGGGGGATTAGGGATTTTTTTTAATCCTTAATAAATCTCAGCTTCTGCCTTTACAAACAGCCCAGTTCACCATCAAGCTGAGTCTGGGTACCTTGTACAGCACTGTGCTCCAGTTTCAAAGCAAAATTAGGGCTAATTCTGACTAATATGTGGTGGTGGTGGTGGCGGCGGCGGAGTGGGGGACAAGGAGAAAAACAATCAAAAGAGGGACTAGCTTTTCCCGCATAGCCTCAGATTTCAAAATGACTGCCTTGGAAGCTGAAATGACCCAGATTGGGGGTGGGTGAGTGGAGGGGAGAAGGTAAATATTCATTCCCTAAAGGGATAACTATGGCTTGATGGAGGAATAGGGAACTTGGTGAAAGGAGGTCGTCTACATGAAAGGAGAAAGAACAGAGAATGGTCTTTAGGTACCACCCACCTCTGCAAGTGAATCACTGCAGTGTCAGCCCTGCACTGATTCCAGGATTTGCCAAACAAGATGAGGTAAGGCACAAGCCTGGAGCCCCCTCCTCCTCCTCCTCCTCCTCCTCCCCCAGAGCGCGCAGAAGAGCGCATCCCTTCTCGAGGTGCACCGCGCAGCCCCCCGCAGCCCTGGCTGAGGGGCTGACGTCACCCTTCTGCATTGAGCTTCAAGGACCGGTGACGGCACTGGTTAGATGGGGAGTAGAGTTGGGGCGCTATCGCTGTCACCAAGTGGCGGGGGTCCTCCCCCAGGGCCGTGAGGATTGGGTCCACACAGAGACAGAATGGCCAGATGGGCAGTGGAAGGATGGAAGGAGGTGAAAAAAGGGTCGCAAGATTCATATCCTGGGTCGTTAAGAAAGCTCAAAGATGCCCACGGCTTATGTAAGACCCTCTCCCCTCTGTGCGCCTCCACGCGGTGACAGCGCCTGCCCTTCATCAGTGCGCTTGGGGGACTCTGGTCGCCCTTGCCTAGTTAGGCAGGTACAGGGCTTCTGGCGCCTCACTCCCGCGGCCCCAAGGGGTTGGGAATAACTGGGAATCTGGGATTAAACCCTGCACTCCTGCGCCCTCTCCTAGCTGGCCACAGGTTAGTTCCAAAATGTGCTACGAACGGGCTGGTAAGGGAGGGTAGGGACGGATGTCCAGCGACGAAAACAGACGAATAAACCTGCAACTTTCCCCAGGGGCTGACCCTATCCCGAGAGCTTGAAAAAGAAATCAATGCATTAAACAATTTTTGCAAAGGTTGACAACCTGCAGTCACCGCCAATACGCAGCCCCCTGCAGCCTGCGCTGGGCAGGGTCCAGGGTCCGAGAAGCCCCGACCTACACCGTGCCATCCCGCAGCCCCGACCCAGCACCCGGCGCCTCTCTTCTTGAAGAAGGGGCTAAGATTGATTTTTGGTTTGAATTTTCCTCCCCTCTTCCTTTCTCAGAGCATCATCACATGGACTGATGGGCAGCGGCTCGGCCACCGGCCCGGCATGGGCACTCACCCAGAAGACGAAGGAGTAGATGATGAGGAGGGTTTTGAGACAGGTTATCACAGGTTTGGTCTCCATTCTCCTCGATGCCATACTACAGAGCTCCGGCGGCGGCGGCGGCGGCAGGCGGCGGGCGGGCGCGCGGGAGGGGGGAGGAGGCGGGGCGAGGCGGGTCCGGGCGGGGGCGCGTGCCGCGAGAGGCCCAGTGAACGCGCAAGCGAGGCCGTGCGTGTGCGTGAGCGCGCGCCCTGCGGGGGCTCCCGCTAAAGAAGCCGGGCGGGGCAGCGACTGCGCATGCTGGGAAGGCCGCCCGAGCCCGCAGTCCCGCGCAGGCTCAGACCCCCAGTCTAGAAGAGGGGCGGAGCAGGACAGGGGGAGGGGAACGGGAGCACCTAGAAGCCAGGTCAGAGGTCAAGGAAACTTCTCCCAGACCACCTTAGCATTTAGGTTTCTGCTTAGTACACAGTAGCGTCTTAAATTTGCAGGGATGTCTGCACCTGGCTACGAGAGGGTTATGAGTGTCCTCCCAAATCAGTCACGTTTCTGCATTTGGACACTGTTGCCCACTAGTCATGTCCTTGACAACAAGTTGGCTTTGTCTGTGCCAGGAACAGACTGTGACAGGTGGCCGGAGATACAGCTGGAGAGATGGACAGGAACTCAGGAGCTCAGAGACTCCAAATCCTTGCCACCACTGTTATCTGTAGGCTCCTCTGTATTTTAGATTTCCTCACATTTTGAAATGATGAAGCCAAATGACAAAGTTCCGAATAAGACATCATTCTTCCTGCACATAAAATGTTTAATGGAACACAGAACAAATGTGTAACATGGCTGCGAATCATTTGCCCCACCCTAACAAGTACAAACGACCTCACACCCATAAAGGAGAGCTCCATAAAGATGGTCAAAAATAATGTTCAAAAACAACTTGGAAGTTCCTCAAAATGTTGAACATAATGTTACCTTATGACTCAGCAATTTCACTCAAACGAAAATTTATGTCCATACAAAACTGTATATGTGAATGTTCATAGCAGTATTATTCACAGTAGCCAAAATATAAATGTTCATCAGCTGATGATGGATTAAGTGTGGTACATTCATACAATGGAAAATTATTCAGCAACTAAAGGGCATGAAGTACCCCTGATACATCTTACAACACGGATGAACCTTGAAAAGAATGCTAAGTAAAAGAAGCCAGACACAAAAAACCAAATATTGAATCATCCAGAATAGAAAAATCCATAAGGATAGAAAATAGGTTAGTGGTAGTGGCGGGTGTGTGGCAGGAATGAGGAGAGACTATTAATGGGTAGGGGGTTTCTTTTTATAGTGATGAGAATGTTCTGGAATCCCATAAAGGTGATAGTTGTACAATTTTGTGGATTTCTAAAAACCACTGAATTGTACACTTTAAAAGAGTAACTTTTAGGATTGTGGATCATATCGCAATAAAAAAGAATGTGCATTCTACCTAGATATCCCATGGCTGGTTTTTAGAGGTACACAGGTGGGAGATTTGCAGTCAAAGCAGCAACACTGTCACAGGGTAAGTCAATCATGGACACTGTTAAGGATACCTTTTGTGAAAGAGTAAAAAATAGAGTCAATAAGGCTTGGGAAAGCCTGCCAAGGTCAGCTGTTAACAGGAGTAATTATTACCTCCAATGAGCTATACCTGGTCTCAGGTCAGTGAGGTCATTGTATAAACAGGACGCAAATATGAGGAAGAGGAGAACCTAGTTAAGGAAATGCTGAGCCATAAGAAGGGTATGTGCGCATAGAAGGGAGTGGAACCTGGATGCAGGTGAAAGAGGCTGGGGCCAGATTGAGCAAGGTGTCTGTTATAAAGGGAGACTGCACAGTGATTCTCAACACTGGGTGCTCATTTGCATCACCTGGTGTTTAAAAACAACTACCAATGCCTGTGCCCAATCCTGGCCATTCTGAGTCATTTAGTGTGGGGTGAGGGCTTAGCAGTTCTTAAAGCTTTTCAAGTGATTCTTTTTTTTTTTTTTTTTGCAGTCTTTGGCCAGGGCTGGGTTTGACCTCACCACCTCTGGCATATGGGGTCGGCGCCCTACTCCTTGAGCCACAGGCACTACCCATTCAAGTGATTCTAATATGCTTATGAAGCAAGAGTTGAGGGTCAATGTCCCCACTGTGATGAACCCAATTTCAAAAAGCTTTCTTTCTCTTTTACAGTTCTCAGGCTGATTCTTACTATTGCAGCATCAAGAAAAGGATACTGAGACTTCAAGCTCAGCAGTACCCTTAGCTTCAAAAAGTCTCGGCCATGTCTAATTACTCTGTAAGGGGTCAGAAATCTCAGTGTTCAGCCCATCAAGGACACGGCTAAGCATTAGAGATCATTTGGTCAGTTTATATATTATGTCCAATAACTTAAATGAACTCAGTATAACACAGTTTGTCCGAACCTTTTCAAAAATATATCTGTTAGTTCCAGATTCTAGAAAACTTGTTCTGTTCCAGCAAAAATAATTTTTTAAAATGTTAAGTTAAATATGAACATTCAGTAATGTAAAGGCAAGGTAAATTAACAGAGCTTGTAACCAGATCCTTGCTATTCAAATTGTGGTTCACAATATAGGGCGAAAAAACCACCCTGGTTTACCCAGGCCTGAGACGAGTTTCTCTGAATTCAAGATTTTAATTGCTAAAGCCAGGAGAGTCTAGGGCAAACCAGGACATATTGGTCACACTATCCCTGAACTGGCAGCATTGCTTACTGTCACTTTAAAATAGGTGAAGTGATAAATTTTATGTTACGTATAGTTTACCACACCGAGAAATAATATGTAGCCACAGCAAGTCCAAATGTCATGTAGCCTGAAGGAATGGTGCATTTGGGCAACCAAAAGGAACATTAGCAAGGCTCAAACGCAGGAGGCAAAGAAGGTATGCAGAAGGGTGGAGAGAGGTCAGGCCATTTAGGTCTCTGTAGGTAATACTAAAAAAATTAATTTTAATCTTTTGCCTAAAAGTGAGGGAAGCTTTTGCTTTTTATTTGCTTTAAATTCGGCAAGGAGTTCACAGAGAACTGGACTGCCCCCAAAGCACTTATCCGGTCCCTGATCCGCAAATCTGTTGTTCACACAGTAACCAGAGTGATTTTTGTTCAAACACAAACCATATCATGTCACTCTTTGGCTTAAAATCCTCTAGTGGCTTTTCATCATCACACTTGGAATCATGTTTCAACTCTTCGCCCTGGCTTAGAAAGTATACATGAGCTGGCTCCGGCTCTCTCTGCCAATACTCCCCTTTTGGCTGAGTGCTCTCCCTCTGCTGCCCTGCTCTTCTTTCTGTTCTTCAAGCAAGTGGGATTTGTTCCGCCCAAGGGTCTTCAAACTGGCCGACCCTCTCTTCAGAATGCTTTGCCTCCTAAACTCTGAATGGCTGGTTCTTTCCTTCCTGTCATTCAGATTTCAGTATAGATGTCACCTCCTCAGAGAGTCCATTTCAGACAAAAATAGCCACTGAGTCACTATCTGTTCTGATTCTCTGCATAGCTTCTAATTTATGTTCTTGTCTCTTTTTTTTTTCCCTGTGTCTCCCACTAAATATAAGCTCTACATGTTGAGGTATTTTTGTCTATTTTTCTCAGTGTTGTCTCCACTTAGATATAGTAGAACTCAAGAAAATTGTTGAACAAATAAGTAATGTGTAGTAGTCCCTCAATAAATGATTGTTGATTGATTGAATAAGGACGTGATATTTGAAATGGGCCTTGAAGTATGAGGAAGATAATGGTGGGTTTGAGGATTGGGGAAGGAAATCATTACAGGCTAGGAACAGCATGAACAAATGCACTTTGAAAAAAAGCACACAACTCACTCAGAACTAAGTGGCGAGGCACACTAGAGGACTGCTTTGGTTTGAATGTCCCCTCCAAAATTCATATTGAAACTTCATCCCCAATGGACCAGTATTGAGAACTGGGCCTTCAAGTGGTGGCTGGATCATGACAGCTTTGCCTTCATGCTTGGATTAATTCATTCATGGATTAATGGGTAACCATGAGAAGGGAACTGGAGGCTTTATAAGGAGAAGAAAGACCTGAGTCAGTGTGTTAACATGGTCAGCCCCCTAGTCACGTGATGCCCTGTACTGCCTCAGGACTTTGCAGAGTCTCCATCAGCAAAAAGGCTCTTAGCAGAAGTGACCCCTCAGCATGGGACTTCTCAAGTCTCCATAATGATAAGAAATAAATTCCTTTTCTTTATAAATTACCCAGCTTCAGGTATTGTTATAAGCAACAGAAAACATATTAAAACAAGGAGCTAGAGTAGGAAAGGCTATAGATATGTAGGTCAGGCTATGGTGGCAGAAGGCCTTGTTCATGCCAAGTTAGACTCTAGTGTAGATAGTAGGGAGCAGTGGGAGATGGGGGTGGGGGTCTCACAGTAGAGGAGTGACATTTTAGGAAAGTAACCTGGGAAACAGTATGAAGGATAAAGGTTGCCGAGGAAAGAGACTGGAAACAGAAGAGTTAGGAGGTCATTGCAGTGGCCTAATTGGAAGTTGATGAGGGCTCAACCTCGGGATGTGGGAGTGGGATGGAGAGAAACAACTATAGAGCGTTGCCTCTCAACTCTAGCCACATTAAAATCTACTGGAGAGCTTTCAGATGTGTGAATGTCTGGGCTCCATCTCCCAGAGATTCTGATTGAATTGGTCTGTGGTACGGTCCCAGCAATCAGGATTTTTTCAAAGCTCTCCAGTTCCTCCAGCTTGGATTGAAACCTCTGGATGGATAAAAGAAATTTTCTGTAAATAGAATAGACAGCCTTCAGGAATGAGTGGACCTCAGTGATGAAGGAAAATAGGACTGACTACTAGTCTCTATCAACTTGAAGGACAGCATTTTTTCATTTTAATTTTTTGTTTTATTATTTTTGTCACCTGGGCTAGAGTGCTATGGCATCAGCCTAGCTTAGAGCAACCTCAGACTCCTGGGTTCAAGGTCCTCTTGCCTCAGCCTCCTGAGTAGATGGGACTGCAGGCGCCTACCATAGCACTCAGCTGATTTTTTTCTTTTTTCTTTTCTTTCTTTCTTTTTTTTTTTTTTTTAAGTAGAAGCAGGGTCTTGCTCTTGCTCAGGCTGGTCTCAAACTCCTGAGCTCA